TTTGACGAAAGAAGCTTGCTGTGGGGCTATTATATTTTGGCTTTCCAGGTATTGCATCAGCGCGTCTGCGATGATTGCTTCCATCCATATGAGTAGTACGGGAAATAGTGATAATGGACGGTAGTTTGTATGATCAGTAAGGCTACCTCCTTTATGGATAGGAGTGATGACTTTGCGCTTCCATACTGGTGGAATGTGGTGCTCTTCCAGACAATGCTGATAGAAAACAGCCAGTGGTTCTGCTACATCACTAGCTACCGCCAGCAGAGCATTTGGTCGGATGTTGTCGACTCCAGGAGAATTGTAGATATGCAAGGATAACAACTTCTTCAACGCAGCTACCGCAGTGAAGGTGATGTTGTCTAAATCAGATCATGGAGTAATTTAAACGAAGAGAATATTTGGGCTAGTTTCCTGCTGGAAAGTTTGGGAGTAATGAAGCCGTAGGAGATCAGCTGCTTCCATTCCTGATCGCGTGCACCCATCAGCCGTGAAGACTGCTGGAACCCCGCTTCACCTTTCGAAGGCCGTTAACGTGCCTGTACCTAAGTTTGCGCTTCGTGCAGAATCGCTTCATTAAATCTTGCTGATGTGTGAACTTGTCTTCACGGATCAGTTTCACACAGAAGTTACGCTGTGTCACCTATGCAGTCCAGGTTTCGGCATTCGAACAGTCCTGGTGATCTCGCCATGCCAAATCCCTCAGGATATACCTTTATATGTTCTGCTCCTCAGAAATGACTTAGGCTTGTTTTAGTGTTGGAACGACTTCTGTTCATATGCCTGTGCTATGAGTGTGCTAAACGTCATTGTAAACGTTTCCCAGGGGGGGGCGTGCGGTTATGAAAGTTCAACATGTATCTTTAACGTGCGTAGATAAGACATTATGTTGTATGACAGTATGCACTTTATCATTCTCCTTTTCAGGACACTCCGCATAGCATATGTAGTCAAAGAGAAGAGTAACATGATCACTACGACCCAGCGGTGTGCTTGTAACTATCCTGTCAACCATGAGTTCTACGTTAGTTAGCACAAGATCTACTATCGACGGCTTGTTAGCAGTTCGAAATCTGGTGGGATAGGTTACGTGATTCTACAGAGAGTTGGTGGAGAGTAGCTACTGCAAACGGGCTTGAAACTGCGCACCGCTGGTTGCCATGGTTTCTACATCATGCACGTTGACGTCTCCAGCGAGAAGAATGTAGTTGCAGGACTTGTTTAAAGCAAACTGAATGACATGCTTCGGTTTAAGGTCCATTTCCGAGGTTGAGTTTGGTGTGCGGTAAATCACGGCTAGTAGACATGTGTAATGGTTTTGGAACCATAGGCGGCACCAAAGCGAATCAGGAGCCCGGATTTCCACGTGATGGATAACTTCACATCGGAGGTTTGTATTACAGTAAGGAATTACACCGCCACCCATTCCGGTTCCATCGGTCCGAAGCAGCAATATACCTGGTACTTTGATCTCAGCATCGATTATCTCAGGGTTTAACCTTGTCCCTGTTATCATGACGGGGTCCCGCGGTTGTGAGGCATGGAGTTCTCTAAGTTCGGCCAATTTGCTTAGAAGGCCTTCAGAGATTGTGTACATGCAAGGTATAGCATTGGTTTTTAGGAGTGCGTTGATGAATGTCAACTTGGTGTTAGTTTTCAAAACGGCCGTCAGGTAGCCGGCCATTAATCGTTTTTTGATTTATGAATTTCAGTCAAATTGCTTAAGAGTATTGAGCGTTCCTGAACAGACGTTTCACTCGTGCAGTGCTCTGTCCTGTTGTGTACCGTGGGCGCTGTTGTGTCGGTCTCTCCGCAGGACCGTGCAGATAAACAAGTTGTGACGTTTGCAAGTCCCATCGGAATGCTTCCGACATTTGGTCGTTCATCTGCTGTATTTAGCCAGATATCTGTTGCAAAATAAGCTCGAAACTTTAACTATATATCCAACGGAACTTGCGTCATTCCCTCGGAGTGTACTAATAGTTTCATTAGACTTGGATCGCAGCCCTTTTAGTTAGGCGATGACAGAATCCTTGTCAGCAAATTGGCAATCACATTGTCAACAGAGAGTACTTCGCGGCTGTAGCACCACAGCTCTCGGTTTTGTGTTGCGCGTCGGGACCAGAAAAATGCAGAAGCTAGGGAACATCATGAAAAAATATTGTTTCCTTGCTATCCCTATAAGGAATGCCGCCTTGCTCATCTGCTTATTTTGGGCGATATCTCCAAGGTAGATCAGGTAATTTGTGCACATGGTTTGGTAAGCAGCGAAGACGAACTACTGAGAACAGAACAGCGTCTGTCTGATACGCTGACTCTATACCATTTTACACGCATGTTCTTGAATTGTACCAAGCTTTGAGCGTGAAACATTTTCAAAATCGCGTGCAGTACTTTCAAGTTAGCGAGGCTAAGAACGCTGTGCTGGCCTCGTTGACGCGCTCATTCGTCATGTGACGTAAACTAATGGGACACCGTGTAGAAACCCACAGCATAAGCGACAGACAGTCCAATGAAAGTGGTCGAGCACCACTTTCTGTTCTCGGTTGATGCCTATCTGATGCCTATCTGAAGAAGTGGTGAGCGCCAAAACGACAAATGCTCTATGGAACAGGTTCCATGAATTCGGTGAGTTCGGTAGATGATGGAGCTACAAATGATGTCGAAACCTTTTCGTCAAATTGCGGAAGCAGGGTAAATAGTCGTACAAACCTTGGCTGGAACATTATGTAAAGGTAAATCCGTAAGCGTGTTGCAGCTACTCACAGTGGAATTCCTTTTAAAAGGAAGCCGTTGGCAATTTAATCGCAAGAAATTAAATGCAGGTTGCGGAAACCTAGGTTAAGCGGTGTTGCTACAGGTTTTCTGAAAGTGCATCGAATGGATAAAGGGTATTTAACTCCTTCGCTGTCAGATGGTTTAAATGTGAGAAACATAGTGAAAATGCCTCTAACTCCAATATTTTTCTGTCCTAAAGAACCAAAAACCCACACTTCCTCTGTCCAAGCTAACTTACACCAAGTTGTTGTTAAGCTAATTGTGGACATTATACAGCTTCCACGGCTTGAAGTAAACAACCTATCATTTTAAGTGGTGGATAGTGCGGGACTGGAAAGATGCAGCACCCCATCTTGGTATCCTCCTGACGAATAAATTCAAGTCGCAGGCGCAGTGTAAGTGTACTACTAACAATGCACCACCGGGGTTATTTCGATTCAGGAGGGTTCTGAGTTGTATCGAACCAGAGGTCTTTCTCCCTAAGTTTAAAGCAGTGATCAGAACAAATTTTGAATGCTGTGTTCAGGCCGGGGTATCCGACCCGCAAAAAGATATCAACTGTGGTGAAAATGTGCAGCTTGGTGACTCGAGTGATGGGCCAGTGTGAGTTAGCGCATGCAGATCGATTAGTTAACTTAGGATTATTTTCGATGAAGAGACGCAGGCTACGAGAGTACCTAATGGAGGCATTCAAAATTCAGTGTGGTCACAGTAATCTCAAACCCACTGATCTGTTTGAACCAGTTACATCAGAACAATATGACCGTAATCCGAATTTGAACCCCAACGACCTCGGTTCAATATAAGAGCCAAATTCTTCGCAAATCCGGTTTGGCCTAGTTGTAATGCACTTCCATCCGCATTTTTGCTCCTAAAGCGGTAGAAGAATTCACGTAATGCCAAAACGAAAATTGGTTAGCTCTTTTTCCCGAATGCCGGTGAGAATTCATGTCAGCCACTGACCACTTTATGAAGACGTTCTGTTTGTTTCGCTATTGTTTCTGTCTTTCAAAAATATACACGTATGCATCCAATATGAAGTATAAGTGCCACGTGCTTTGTTCACTTACTGACACACGAAATGAGAAGCTCGTCAACCGAAAGCTTATTTCTTGCCTTGATCCTGTCTTATCCGTTAAGGATGTCCCGCATCCAACAACTTGTGGGCAACAAAAATACGTGCCATTATTAAAAGGGGATTGATTCTTCAAACTTAATAAAAATCTACCTTGAGGAACGCATTGGCGGAATACCACAGAGGCCACCTCATGTGGGTAAAATTGCATGCTAGCACTATCCGAGAAAAGGAAAAAAATCTGAACTGATTCCGATTTCCATTTCCTAGCACACATGCTCGAATGTGCCTGGGATCGAGCTGTCACAAAGTTTCAGGCGTTTGTGAACAAAGCTGGGAGCTTTGTTGTTTTACGGAAAGGGTTTCACAATCCTGGTTCGCGCCAATTGTTATCACATGAGCAAATTCCAAAGTTTAATAATGACGACATGTTCACTGAACACTTTAACGTATCCTTTACTGTCATTTGCAATAGCCTAGTTTGACTCAGTCAGAACAAGAACCATTCTACACGAGCATACACTTGTCTTTATGCTGGCCGTGTATCAAAACCGTCTTATTCAGAACCGCGTGAATCATATTGACATCTTGCGGTAACAGTCAGACATTCTAGCCAATTATTATGCTTCAGAGATAATTCATCACTGTCCACCCTCAGTCAGCAGACTTCAACACCCCTGGAAAAGCACAAGACAACTGTTTCGGCCTTCTGGGTCTCATCAATGGTACGCCTTCTATCGGGCCCCTGCGCAGTTCCTGCCTTATGACTTCCGGATGCCGGCAGCTAGGGCTACTTCGTCATAGGTGACAGTTGCGGACCTGGATGATCGACAGTTGTCTATGACATAGCCTGGCCTATTTTCCACTGTCGTGCCAATTACAGACTGTGCAGAAAACAGCAGTTAGCCCCACGAACTAGGACGTTCCGCATAGTGTCTATGTACGACATAGAACTTAGATGCTAGTAGGAAAGATTTTGTTATAACTAATGAGGTGTATAAAGAGAACCCGGGTGACTAGAGTACTGTTGTTTGCGTATTAAACCCTATGCTAAAAAGGACCGGTTTATTAACATCACAGAAGTGCGCCAAAACGACGCCAATTGGATCCTAATAAGTAAAGGCTAGATGTTCAAAATGACACTCACTGCGATCGTTGTAAAAGGCGTTCTCTCCTGTATCGCTTGTCCACAAGGAGTGATTAAAATGACATCCACTCGATGAGCCTTCAGCATAAGGCGAAGTCATGAATGAAATGCCCATGCCATGTTGAAGTGCGATCTCTTTGGCTGCCTGTTTGAAGATAAAGTAGTGATCAGCAGATGCGATACCGTACTCCGGCATCAAGGGACACTCCAACTGCCCGGACCCATCCTCATTTAGGTATTCTTGAATATCGACACCAGCCTTTTCCATCATTGCGTCCAATTTCATGAAGAAACTCTCGTACACTGCCAACAGGCTTGACTTATAAGCGTCAGCCCCGTAAGTAAATGGTACAGGTTCTGCAATCGGTAGATCATCCTCAATCGGAGCGGCTGGGTTACGACACGATGCATCCATGGTATCAGGTTTGAAGGCCCAAAACTCCGGTTCGAACCCGGACATCAGCTGAAGCCCGTACCTGTCTTTTAGCTCTCGCAGCAGTCTTTGAGCGACTACTCTTGGTTGTGCTTGCATTAACTCATCTGTTGGCCAACTCAAATTACAAATCACTGCACCCACACACTTGTCTGAAACGCATTCCGCACTGTGAGAGCTGAGATCATGATTCTGATATCCTGCCCATGGACACGGATGCAGAGTGGAAAAGTCTGGTTTTAGGTGACTGTTCACATGGTTCTGCTTGATGACGCATGGGATATTTACGTACTGAAAGGAGAGAAGTTCGAAGTAGTCGAGTTAGTGTTTTAATACCTGAAGCCTTTAATAAAACAAGCTACAACGTGAAAGATGCTTAAGAACAACTAGGCATATTTAATGACCGCAGTGGGAAACGCATTAAACAGTAGTTTCGTTCGTTCTCTCAAAGCTCCGTAGTGCACCATTCACCTACTTCGCATTAGGATCCGATCGCTACAGTCGTCTTGCGAAACATAGATTGAGTCCGCTGGACCATGAGGGCTGGTAAAACACTTATCACCAGGTAATTATCAGATCTATGAGTAAGTATTCATTGTTGAAGCTGAGCTACGTAATAAAGCACGGAATACTTTGGTCTAAAACAGAGAAACACTGGCTTCCAAGCACAGATATTGTGGCTGTTTCCAGAATTAACTGAATGTTGAGGTACTTGAATAAAACGAGTATAGAGAGAAGCAGTTAAGAAAAAGAGAAGGATTAAAAAGGAATGCAACGATCTCATAATATCGCGCAATGTATCCAAAGCAGAATAGTTAAGTGCATAAACAAAATATTTGGGATTTTTAGGCAACATGCGCAGAACGCATTTGATATCCTCTGACAGCATAAGGAAACAGTTAGAAACTATTGCACCTTACATATTAGAGCCCACACTTATGAGCGGTAGGAGGCTACGGTGCACAAGTTTACCAACACAGAACGGCTTTCCAAGTATGTTGACAACAGTAGGAAGGTAAAGGGTGGACTATCAACGGTCATGATGGCCAGCGGTCTAATGCTTTAATTGCTGTGGGTGCTGTGAACGCGCCATTTGCGAGTTTTGTCTCCGTAGGTAAAAAAAAACAGCAAATGCCCTCGGTTTATCAGGTGTCAGCTTCACCCCGGAAGGCCTTAGAAATAAATATGACCCTGTTAACAACATAATTCCTCCGAAGGGAAGCAAAACACTTTCTTGCAACTTAACAGTACATATGGTGACTATTTTCTAGTGTCATCTCTAGTCACATGCAATCTAAACTGAGCAAAAAATGGAGTCATCTCTCCGATATACCAAGGAGTTTGGCGAGCAGGTACGGCGAACTGTCGATCTCCCTGATTTATCAAGTATTATGGAGTCGATGATTTCTGTAGAAGATAAGAAATATTTTACAGACACAAATCATTTCGAACTAAATTTGTTTCGACATTCCGCTTTCTGTTCATGACTCAGGGAACATAGCGGCTGAAAAGAAGTTCCCCATGAATGGTCTAAATGGTTTTTCCTATGCACTCGATTGACTCAATCACGCAGCTCCTCTCCAAAAGCATGTCGGATACGGTATCATGGACGCCTTTCTCAACTATCCTATTAAAAATTGCCGTGGCAATTTCCGACAGCTTACACGTCTCAAGTTTTGTGCCCTTATGTTTTGTCCGCGGTAAGCCATTGTTTTTAATCGATCTTAATGATCTGGTAAAAATATTAGTTTCCATTGCCCATATTTGCAGCTAATCGCTCAACATCTGACGGTATGTTCAACAGGAGCTGCGCTGGATTTTCGATTAGCAGATATGAACCAGCTCCTACGTAAACCTGTGAAGTGCCAATCCCTAAGGCCGTGAAACAAATTCCCTTACACATACCGATCGCTGTGGTACATTGTACATTACATGGTTAGTAAAAGAGACCCAGGCATTAGCGTCGAGAAATTCTAAGAATTTGACACCGATGTTTGAGAACAACAAATGTGGAAACTTGGAATTTGTGGCTTCTGCAGCGATCTCTCTGTACCTATGAGCGACAACTAGTATCGCTATTGATCAACTCGTATATTTGTCCCTACGTTGAGTAGGCGGCTGAAGCTTGATCTCCAATGTTACAATGAATATTTCCTCTAACGGAGCCGTTGCAAATAACTGCCACTGAGGTCGCACGTGATCTATATGGCCTCAGGTAAGAACTGAGCAGTCGTTTAATTAATGTGTTATCAGAATACCGATGACTATTTTGAGACCTCATTCGCATATACCGGGTACTGACAGAGTGAACATCCATGTAAAGCACGGCAATGTCGCTGTGACGACCCAAATGTAGGGACCCGGCTATCTCACTTGCACTGTAGAAAGCTTTTATACCCCTTAGAATCAGTCCACATTTGAATGTGCTACCAGCACACACGGTGAACACACCAAACATGGTGACCATTGAAAGTATATTAGACTTTCGTCTCAGTGATAAGCTCTACACAAAGATATGACAAACTGTTACGGCTGGAATAAAGGAAGCTCATGATTAGCGTGGTAACTCATTGATTTCGTTTTGCATTTGTCGTCCTGTGGGCATTATAACGCTAATGCTCCTTGCCCCATACTACCTTAATGATTTGTTGAGTGAAATTTCATGTGTGTGTATGTGACTGGCACAATCTATTTAGGATGCCATGCTGGTTGTTAACCCTTCAGCACACCATTGACCCTCACAACCACGTGAAGAATGCTCCGATCGGGTGAAAAATAAAGGAAAGCACGTGTGGAATACAGTGTGCTACATGGATGCTCATTTAGCTTGGATACATGTGCGCATTCGCAAGCTTTGTGATGCTTCCTCGATACCCTTTCTGAAAGTGCCATCCAACTATGGTGATGTCCCAAACAAATTGAGTACCTACTGCACAGTCAAATACCCATTAATCACAGGCTTGAATCTACGCAGTGTATAAAATGTTCCGATAGCATGTGAAAGGATAACAGATCTCAGAGTCGTGGATCGGAAAAACAGCTCGCTGATTTTGTGGTGAGTTGCAGAACCGTAACATCGGAGGTTTAAAGACAAGTGTACACGTCTATCAGGCAATGCATAAGATTGCTAAAAGAAAACACAAGCTCAGTTCCACCCCAGGAAGTTAGACAACGTTAACTGCTAACTCAAGGCTACGCACCATGTTATGTTTTCTTTTAGGAATAAGCGTCATTGGTCTCAAAATTATGCCGGCAACATTTCCCCAAATCGATTGGACCAACGAGCAGATTCCACGCACGAAAACACATACACGCATACACAAATTTGTAGGGTCAAGTCCATCGCAATGAGGCTGGAGCTTACAGTGGTGCGATGGTTTGCATGCTTCAGAGAGACATTAAACTATGCTAGATGGTGCTTTCTTGCACCTTCGGAGCCACTCATACTAGATGGGTCAATGGTTAGAGGCCAGACAAACTCAGCCTCCTGGTGTTCCTGCTTGGGGGTTGGAATGAGGGTGGCTCCTTATTCCTTAAAACGGACTCCTTGTAGCCCAGTGCCAAACCCGCTGCCTTGCCGTCAAGTTTTAAAACCAAAGACTTTGGTTGAGAATCTTAGTCGTTCTCTTGTCTAGGCCTGGACAATCTGACAGTATCACGCGAACGCAATACAATGAATCTCGCTTCAAACCAATTTCTGATGCTCTGGCCACCGCAGAGGATAATCAACTGTACCCTATTTGCTGCATCGAGCAGGGTGGACAGGGGTTTGGATGCTACTGCTCAAGCCTTCCCGTCTTCTTATTCCCCCACTTGCGCTTTCTCACCCTTATCGTCCTGTTCCAGCTTCACCGTTATCCACCTGTTTTCAACCCCCAATTCTTGGGCTTCCCCCAACTTGCTTCAATAGTCGCTTGTCTTCTAGTTTCAACTCAAGTGTGAACGCGAAACATCATTCCTGCCTTGTCGAGAAGCCCATGTCCGAGCAAGCGGTCAAGCCCAGTTCATCGGCTTCCATTTGGAACCACCGATCCTCCTTCAGATTGGTATGCCTCAACGTACGCATATTGCTACAGATAGGTCAACAGGCTGCACTTGCCCGAACATTAGAGACCCTCTCGATCGATATCTGCTGCTTATCGGAGACCTGCCTGAAAGATTTGAGCTCTTTGCTCACTAAGCGATCCCATTCAGGTGACACCAACAGCACATTTTCATTGCGCCTATCCGGTGACGATGCAGCTTCGAGCACGGGCCAAGCCGGTGTTAGTAATGCCATGAGCCCCCGGACTGATTCTAATCTGGTTAACTGGATTCCAATCAATAGCCGGTTGTGTGCCGTCCGATTGGGTGGCTCGTTCAAAGATTCGAAAGTCGCGTAAGACTAACAGGTGTCTATTCGTCATCGTTGCCTACACGCCCACAAACTGTAGCGATGATTGAGTAAAGAACGACATCAACCGCTAAATGACCCATCTCCTTCGCCACAGAAAACACACGGACACTGCTGTGCTGGTGGGAGATCTGAACACTCAAGTTAGAAAGCTGTCCACTGATGAAATGCATCTGGGCTATCAGCACGGTGTAGGCTCCCGTGATGATAACGGTGAGCGGTTACTTCGTTGGTGTGAGGATGCTCGCTTATTTCTTGCGAGCACTAACTTCCGACACAGCACTTGCCGGAGGGTGACTTGGCGCCCACCAGCCTGGAACCAGCCTTGGACGCAAATCGATCACATTGCTATTAGTTACCGCTGGAGAGGCTGCATCCAGAACTGTCGCTCGATTTGGAGCACAGGTGTGGACACCAATCATACACTTGTATGTGCTGACCTGCGGATGCATTTTGACGGACGTCCACGACGACACTGTGAGCGCATGGACACCAGCCAACTGACAAAGCCAGCTGTTCTGAATGCCTATCAAAGTACGCTGTCATGCGAGTTGGATAAACGCTCACTGGATGCAATTGAAGGCCACTGGTCTCATATTCACCAGACCTTACTAGCAGCAGGAGAATCCTCATGTGGTATGTCTAATCACCAACATGGACATTGGGTCTCTTCACAGTCTCTGGAACTTATAGCTGCTCGCCGGCATATTCCGGCTGGAAGCAAACAAAATAACACTCACAAAGAGCTCCGGGAAAAACTCCGTGCTAGACTGAAGAGAGTCCGCCAATCCGGGTGGGTCTCATCGTGCTTCAGAGATGGAAATGGCCGCTGCCCTTCGTAAGTACGGGAAGTTGTTCTGTTTGAAACGGGAAACGGGCAGCAGGAAACCTGGTGTTA